TATTATTATTATTATTATTATTATTATTATTATTATTATTATTATTATTATTATTATTATTATTATTATTTTATTATTATTATTAACACGCTCTGATGCTAAGGAGTTCTACTCCCCCTCCCCACCTGAACAGAAATCTCTTCCAAATGCAAAACACAAGCAGAGGAGAGGAGTTTCAGTTTCAGTTTCAGTTTCAGAGCACCAAGCAGCTTTAGTACACAACAGTTGAGCTGACACGCCCAGGCTCCTTGCTGTCTCCTTCTTGCTCACACAGCAAACACTCTTTAAGTTTCCAAACAGCCCTCAGCTCTATCACACACTGACAGGATGCTGGACAGTTGAATACCGATGGATGCTGGTGGGCAAAGGCAGAATTTTTCTCCTCTTATTTTTCTCCCCAAAAACTAAGCTCGACCACATAGTTTCATAGCGAAGTACAGCTATCCAGCGAGTTATGCATACTGTTGTATGATAAGTAAATGTTAGAAGTCAAGATTACTATTGTGGAGAACAGTACCTTCTCGGATGCCTTCCTGGATCAGTTTCTCGCCATGCAGGGAGTCCGATGACTCGGTGCGGAAGAGAGAGCGGGGGTTTCCCCAGGGCGAAGGGCTGTCTTCCCTGCCGCTCTGAAGAGTCACGAGGTCCGCAAAGAGCTCTATTTTCTCCCTGAGAAGGGCCCCAATCTCCTGGTCACACTGCTGAATCTTATCTAGGGGAAGGAAGCAGGGGTTGGCTTCAAAAATTTTATCTCTGCCTGGTTGCTGGGTGGGCGTGGCCTAGTTGGCCTCCTGCACCATGGCAGGGAGGGAGGTGTTTTTACCCTCCCTGGGCTCCAGAGGCTTTTCTCGAGCCTCTGGGAGGGTGAAAACGGCCTCTCTGGGCTCTGGAGGCTCTCTGGAAGCCAGAAACGGGCCCATTTCTATCCTTCCCGAACTTCCGGGAGGCCCATTTTTTGCCCTTCCAAGGGCCCCTGCATTTACCTGCATCCAAAACAAGGAGGGGAGGGGAGGGGTGGTGGGGCCAGCCAGGAGTGGGATTTGGGGTTAGGGTTGGGGTTACTGAACTGCACAGAATCTTAGCGAGGGGCTCTCCCGAACCCTCAGCAGCCCAGCCCTGGAAGGAAGGAAGGAAGGAAGGAAGGAAGGAAGGAAGGAAGGGAGGGAGGGAGGGAGGGAGGGAGGGAGGGAGAGAGAGAGAGGGAGGGAAGGTGGCTGCCAGGAGGAGGTGCAGGAGGGAAAGTCAATGTCTGTCCAGGGAAGCTGGGAATGACCTTACCCCAGGGGTGGGATTCTACCAGTTCGCACCTATTTGCTAGAACCGGTTGTTAACATTCTAAGCAGTTTGGAGAACCGGTTGTTAGAAGAAATTACTGGCCTAATCCTGTAAGGAAGGCAGGAAGGAAACATTCTGGTGTTGCTTACAGAAACTGCCTCTCCTTTAACCCTTATTACATTCTTGGCAGGACTAGACTTCCTGTCTCAGGAACTTCTCTGGTGTTATTTTTCCCTCCTTTGCTGATACTTTGCTGCTTGTGTGGAGTGACCATTCAAAGTTACAATGGCACTGAAAAAAGTGACTTATGACCGTTTTTCACACTTACGACTGTTGCAGCATCCCTACAGTCATGAAAGGCCAGGCGAGGAGATGCATGCCTCGATGTGAGTGATACTGAGTTGGCCACGCCCAGCCAATAACATGAACACCAAGCCACGCCCACCCAGTCACATGACCACCAAGCCACACCCACCAACTAAGCCACGTCCACAGAACCGGTTGTTAAAAAATTTGAACCCCACTCCTGCCTTACCCTTCAGCTTCCTGAGAGAAGCTTCGCTCTCGGTCTCAATGAAGGGGAAGTCAGCCCGGTCAGGGCAGCTGCAGCGGAGAGACAAGCAGAAAGATCATCAGGTTAACCAATTGGGACATAAAAGGACCAGAATTTTTTTAAAAGAAGAGCCTGGACATGTGTCTGAAATGGTACAGGGTCCTCCTGCTTGAACAGGGGGGCTGGACTAGAAGACCTCCAAGGTCCCTTCCAGCTGTATTCCGATTGATTTCTGACTGATACGCTCTGGAGTCCTTGGGCAGTCTGTGTCTGTGGGTGTTTGGGGAGAGGGGGGGAGTTGCATAGAAGCATTTTCAGTGCCTCAAATTAATTAAATCCCATTTAGGGTTCTCTCCACCAACTTCTGCGGCAGCTGAATCAGCCATCTGGCCATTTCAACCAAGCTCTGCTTTTTCTGGACATTAAAAGGAGAAGGCAATCCTGAGGCCCTTTTACTGCTAACCTCCAGCTCATTCCTCATTTTGGGAAGTCCAGTTTTAGTCTCCCTCCCTCCCTCCATCCTTGCTATCTTTTTTTTTAAAAAAATCCCCCAAAGGCCGTAAAGTCATGATCACCGAAAGCTACAATGAATCTTAAGAGGATTTGGGCTTCCCTCTCTGGGGCCATTCCAATCGAATAAATGGAATCCACCTCTTTGTATAAATGGCTTTTACTTATTTATTTGGAAAAATTAAAGGCCGCTCCTTACAGCCATGTTATGGTACAGTTAGGGCAGTGGTGGCTAATCTTTTTGGGCTCCTGTGCCAAAAATTGCATGCACATTACCACGTGTGCACTTGCATGCCAGCACCCAGAATGCAATGCACCCCTCCACGTCCCCTGCGCATGTACGCACAATCCCTCTGCCACCCCCTTATCTGCACTGCACCTCACAGCTGATTTTTCGGCTGGTTTGATGCCTTTTTCGGCCTCTCAAAGGCTTGGAAAAAGCCTCTGCAAGGCTTTTCAGGACGAATAATGTGCTTGTTTCGTCACTTCCGGTGACGAAAGGAAATGACGAAACGGGCCTAATTGTCCTGAAAAGCCTCTGGGAGGCTGCAAAAGGCCTCAAAACAGTTGGGAAAAAATCAGTTGGGAGGCGTGTGCATGCACAGTGCAGGCAGGTTTGGCTGGGGCTTGCGTGCCCACACAAATGGCTCTGCGTGCCACCTGTGGCATGTGTGCCATAGGTTCGCCATCACGGTTCTAGTGCCTGGGAACTTGGGAGGGGAGAACTTACAGAGAGGTGGAAGGTTAGACATAACATTATTTCTTAGAAGTTGACGACAAGTTACCCTGCACCTGGAGAGGAGTGTCTGGAGGAATGTCTGCAGTTGGGACGGATGGTGATATGTGATGGACTGATGGGAGGGGCAGATGGACTAGCAGGGGATGGGATTTGGATTTTCAATTACGAAGGGAAAACCCGGAACTCTCAGATTTGGACTTTCCCCAGATGTGCCAATATGACGACACTAATAAATGGAACTTTGAGGAAATGTATTATCTTGGAGTTTGTTAGTTGGAACGCTGACAACCTGGCCATGCCCCCCTCCTCCCCCCACCCCAGAGGTCAAACACAACACAAAAGGGCACCCTTTTTTTTTTTTTTGAACTATTACCATCTTGCAGAAGGTACAGGATAATAAAAACAAGGACAAACAGGCTGAAAAACAGCTTCTATCCCAGGGCAGTAGCTCTTTTGAATTCTACCGTGTAATGCAATATAAATGCAATATCAGGGGTTTTCAATTCAATGTGTGGAGTGTGAAGGATGTGTGTTTGTGTTTATTTTCATGGTCATGATATGCACTGAAGATGCGTGTTTGATTTCGTTTTATGAGGTGCAATGACAATAAAACAAACTAAACTAAACCCTGATGCAGACCTCAATGAAACAGAGTCGATATATTATAATGTATGGGATGCCTGGTATGAATGGTTTAGGAATAAAAAAAATCAAAATGACAATTAGGTAAAGAATAAGAAACTGTAAATACTGACTTCCGGTTTGTCGGCTTCGCGAGCGGCAGGGATTTGCGAAGCTGCGCGATCCCTGCCGCGCTAGCCGTTTTTGGGGCTCCGACCCAGCCGGGTACGGAGCTAGGCTGCCCTGCAGGGGCAGCTGAAGGTAGGGGGGATCCGGAGAAGGGTTTGGGGGTGCTGCAGACTCCCTCCCTGGCCGGCAGAACTCCCTTTTCCCAGGACGGTGCAGCGGCGGTCTGTAATGGCCGCCACAAAGAAGCTGGCAGCCGGGTAAGAATGCGCAGGAGGAAGTGGAGAAAGTGATTGAGAGGAGAAAGTTTTTCTTGGCTCCTAGGACTCTAAGACATATCTAATAAAATTCCTGAAAAGTATGACTTTCTGAATAATACCTGCCAGAAGAGGAAAAAAGCGGCTGTTTGAAGGTGCTGAAAGGATAGCTTTCCCTCTTTTCCTACGGAATAAATAACTGGATATTAAGAAACCTATTTCTTTTAGGTGAAAATTGGTTTTAAGCGATGAGTGGGAAGAGAGAGGATTAAAAAGAAAACATTTGTATGCTAAGACTTTGTTGGAGCAGATGTCTTAAGGATTTGAAGACTAGAATATATTGCAATAAGATTTTAAACAGATTTGGACTTTCTTTCTCTTGGATTGATATTACCCCAGAAGGAGAAAGTGAGAACTCTGCCTTGGTTTGGACTGACTGATAACTTTGGGACTGTTTTATTTTTTTTATTTTCTTTTGAATATTCTGGTTGTTGTAAGAAGAAAGAAGGGGAAAAGAAAAGAAAAGATTTATAATGGCTCTTTCTGTTGAGGAACTAAGAAAAGAATATGAACAAGCAAAAAAAAATGGTAAAGATGGTGTGGAAGAAGCTTTCCTTTTCTTAGAAATGGCGCTTATTAATTATCAACAAACATTACAACAGATGAAGACAGCAGAGGAACAAGAAAGAAAGAAAGGAGCCATTTTTAATGAATCTCAGAACTTGATCCAGAAAGAAGGAAGAGAGAAAGAAAAGAAAAGAAGAGAAAAGAAGAAAATTAAAGGACTTAAGGACTTAAGATCTAAAAAAACATTTAAGAAAGGGAAAAATAAGGTGCAAAACCAATATGATGATAGTAAACAAAAGGGAAAAGGAATACGACAGAGAAGGGAAGCTGGCAAGGCAGAGGCTAGAAGAAGGGGGGGTAGAAAGGTTTGTTGGGAGAAGAAAGAAAGGGAAAAGGTGGAGAAAAGCTACAATGTTTTGAAATTAAATGAAAAAAAGAAATTTTTTTTGGATAATGGATAAAGTATAATTTTTTTTTTTAAAAAAAAGATTTTGCAAGGTACATAAGATGAGATGGTAGTATTGTAATGATTTAAGAGTTGATAAGAGATTAAAATGTTAAAATGTTTAAAAATGATTGGCTTTAAAACTTAATAATAGGGGAGGTTTAGAATATTGTTTTAATTAAAGAGTTTAATAAGACTATGGTATTGATGTTATTATAAAATTTTTATTATAGTATCTTTTTTTAATATTTGGATTTATTGTCTAATTATGTACTTAATTATGTTGGATGTATTAGTTAGATAGAATGTACCAAGCAAAATCGGATTGGGTATTAGATATTATTTTAAAGATTAATTTGATTAACTTAGGGGGGAGATAGAAAGGCATCACACTCTGATTAATGATTTCAGGAGAAACTTATTTTCTTTTCTTTTATAAGGAATGAGACAAAGGGATGATAAAAAATGGACAAAAGATACAAATATAATGATTCAAATTAAGATGATTAATTAAGATAGAAGTAAGAAGTGTGAAATATGTGGGGAAGTTAATATAGAAGGCTTAGAATGGTAAATAAAATAAGTAATGATATGTAAGATGAGCATGAATATAATTGAAGTCCATGAAGAGAGAGACACCTGGGTCCAAGTTACTTTCCAAAAAGATTTTTTTTATGTTTTGTGTGTTGTGTGTATATGTTTTTTTGGGGGGAGAATTAGTTAAAAATTGTAGAAATATAGATTGAGAATAATGGTAACTAAGTCAGACAGAAACAGATGAAATAATAATAATGATATTGAATAAGAGTAAAGAGAAGTAAAGAGAAATTGAATAAGAGGTTTTGGTATGTTGTATGGAAATGGTTTAAAACAGAATTATAATTTATCTGACTTGTTAAATTGACAATGAAAAAAGGTTTAAACATGTAATGAATAATGACAATTTGTGTGTTTTAAAAATTAATAAAACTTGTTTTTTTAAAAAAAAAAGAAACTGTAAATACTTACATCTACATTCATATCTATATTTATTTATATATTAAGTTGAAATTGTATAATGAAAGAAATGTGTATATAGAAAGATGATAAGGAAATGTAAAAGATGTTGATGTTGATATAATGATGTTGATATAATGATATAATAAGTTTTATTTCTTGTTTTTAAATTTTGAAAATTTAATAAAATTTAATAAAGTACCTGTCAAAAGAAAAAGAAAGAAAGAAAGAAACAAGAGTTTGACACCCCTGACATAGCGTGATCTGCTGTGCACCATCCCACAACTGGCTGGGTTCACATCACACCCAAGCCAACCTCGACTAGAGCATGCTCAGAGTAGTCCTTTAGCAAAGCCCATCAACTCCTTGCCTTACAGGAGGTGCACGTCTGGTTGCTTGTCCCATTGCCAGACCTATGGAAGGGTGAGAGGAAAGAGCAAGATTGCCCCCCACCGGCCCCATACACACACACTCACAGCTTCACACTCTGCTGGATGACCTTCATCCAAGTGTTGCGGTCATCGCGCGATGCAGCGTGAACCTCGTACATCTCCGGCGGAGCGTTACTGATGAGGAACATGCCCTTCTCCTGGTTGGCAATATCACGGACAATCAAGTCCTGGATGGAGATGACTACTGGCTTGTCCTGAAAGGAAAGAAGCATGTGCAGAATTCCTACTCATAGATAGATAAGATGGGTAGGATCATCCATTTAATGTTCATAGCAACCGTAGGAATGTCATTCCTTTTTGGTAGCGCAGTGGTTAGAGTGCAGTACTGCAGGCTACTTCTGCTGACTGCCGGCGGCCTGCAATTTGGCAGTTCAAATCTCACTAGGCTCAAGGTTGACTCATCCTTCCATCCTTCCAAGGTGAGTAAAATGAGGACCCAGATTGTTGGGGGCAAGAGGCTGACTCTGTAA